CTTAAATACCATGGAGCTGTGGCTTGCTTAAATGGTTCCCTTAAGAGACTAGAAGCAAGGGGGTACTAGATTACTACAGTACACCCTATCATATATGTTCCCGTATAACAAGTAATCGCGTAAATGCTGTATCAGCAGTTAAAAGAAAGTAAGCAAGACGTGTAAGTTTATAAATATGCGCGTGTGCCAGCAAAGAAAGATTCAACTATGCCAGTTGGTAATCAAAACGATCAGAAAATATACAAAGTATAAAATTAGGACAAAAACCAAGAAATAACATTTATTAGAAAAAATAAAAAACTAAGGGTAAAAAGGCAGTAAGTAAAAAACAAGTAACTGGAAAAGTAAGCAAAAAATAAAAGCGAGTAAGTGAGAAAGTCTGCTTGAAGTCAAGTCAGACAAAAGTAAAAAAGACAGAAAGCGCAAAAAGCTATTGAATAACGCAAAAAAGTGAGAACCTAAGCATAAAGCAAACAAGTGGCAGATAAAAATAAGTATGCAATATAAAATATAAGGTAGCAACTAACAGAAAGAGTAATGAAGTGAGCCCATAGGAGAGTAAGAAAAAACAGGCAAGATATAAGCAAGGAACTAATGTTAAATGATGAAGGTAGTTAACGGTTATGCAAGAACGAAATTAATAAGCAAGTAAAACAACAATCAATAAAAAAACAATTCAGAACGTAGATTCAAACAGTGCAACAGTGAAAGGAATAAGCAACTAAATAAGTGAAAGAGAAAGCAGAAAACTACGAATATGAATAAAAAACATGTAAAGAAAAAGTATAGAATTAGGTAAGAATTATATAAGAAATCAGCAAATAACAAAATATAGAAAAAATAAGTAAAAAGCAATGAAAGTTACTAATCAAACAAGTATGTATTTAAGTAAGAGAGAAAAAGAGTAAAAAATGAGAAGAAAATAAAGAAAATGTAGACAAAATATGAAGTAGGCGACAATAAAAACAGTAAATAACTGTGCAAGCAAACAGCCAAAAAATAAGAAAATGATCAAATAAGTAAAAAAGTAATAAACAGAATAAGATGAAAAATGCTAATGGCTAAACAACTAATTAACACGGCAAAAAATGAATGTAAGCACGTTAGTGAAAAAAATAGTATACAATAAAGTTCAGAATTACAAATAAAAAAACTGCATTAGTAAACAAGTAAGAAAGGTGGTCATATCTATTTCGAACTCGAAAAGAGCAAAGTCACTTTAAAGCATCATCAGAAAGAACTGTCAAAAAGGTGTAAGCCTAAACTAGCAGAAATGGCACCGACGAACATTTGAGGAGTCATTGACTCATTCGCATAACAATATACATATAATGCATAAGAACAAACCAAATACGCATTAATGAGACAAGGAATAAGAATGAAGGAGGTGAAATGAATCACGGAAAGTTGATGCAGATGAATATTTATTTGCTTTGATCACCCCCCCCCACCCGAGAGCTGATCAAATACTACGATATTCAGAATAGGGTGTTCACAACACCCTATCTTTCATTGTCATCAATATATTAAATCTCGCTCATTCGACAGGCTGTGTCATTACTACAGGTTAATTACAATTAAGCGTCTAATAAAAACTGAAGCATCTTAATGAAAAAATTCATAAAATGGCGAACCTTTTCCTCTTCCAATCGATCTTTCTCCGCCTGTAGTCGCTGTCGCGTTTCTTCCTTCCTCAGACGTTCTTCCTCACGTTTCTGTTTCTCTTCTTCTTTCTTTCGTCGTTCTTCCTCCTTTTTCAGACGCTCCAGTTCGCGTTTCTGCTTTTCTTCTTCTTCTCGTTTTCGTTTCTCCTCCTCTTTTCGTCGTTTCTCTTCTTGCCGTTTCATCTGCTCTTCCCTGCGCTTTTGTCTCGCTTCTTCACGCCTTTGTTTCTTCTCCTCAATGCGGCGGCGCTTCTCTTCGAAGAGTCGCCGCTTCTCAGCTTCGAGTCTCATCTTTTCAGCCAACTTCCTCCTAAACTCATCATGACAGATAGCAGTGATATCAGCAAAAAATGATTTCGAACATCATTCTCAAACCATAAACTACGTGACAGGCCACAGATGACACAAAAATGCAAGATTACAATTTTATGCTTTGTTGAAAATAGTTTTCTTATTTCCATGTTAGGGTAGCTGTACACCTTGAACACCGACTTAACAAAACCCTAATTGGAAATAATAGATATGATCAAGTTAATACAAAGGTTTAATGTCCTTGTGATGCTTTAAACCTCGCCGTTGGGCATACACAAATTAAAAACGAAATAAACAAATTCAAGCATAATATAAAAACAGTACAAAACAAGGACCATTTAGACACAAAGCAAATAATTTCGTCAGGCAAATGACCGACCAGTACCGACGTTTTAGATCGCATCTTATGGACCTTCTTCAACCCCTGGAGGTGGATGAGCTGTGAATTCCGTCTTGCCTTCTGCAGAAACTCGTCATTTTAAAGCTGGAAGGCAACCTTTCGGTTGGTGCTGCAGGATAAGTAGAAGAAAGTTCACTACACAACTGCTTAATCTGAATTACGGACCAACAGTCCGCCTTTTGGCGCCGAAACAGAAGATGCTGCATGTGATTAAACAGACTTCGGAAGATGATTCACGTCGTTATCGTTACCTTGAGGAAGACCCGTGAGACTAGGGTCAAAACAATGGTAATAGTCAATCATCTGATTGATGAAATTACTTGCGCTGTGTATAAATAAACTGTGTTTTATGTGTTTTCAGTAAGAG